TCACAACTTGGGGTGGCTCCTGAGTTGTGCAAATTTTTAGCCATTCATATTGTGTTTTTTTATTGGTTCCATTGACCATTGATAACATATTAAGTTAGTAGACTTTGAGAGTTCACTGATGCATAACTTAAACAACCACCATAACCTCCCTAGCTAGGGAAGATATCGAAACTTTAATTAAAATCATTATCTCACTTATTATTAGTTGGGGACTACTAGTTTAGGAGTTCCAAGGTTAGGCTTTTACGAGATCTATCAGTTGATGAAGACAAGAACATTCCATTGCATATTGATCAGAAATGAAAATGAACCTGTGAATCTTACTGTGAGAGCCACTTCAGCCTATGGCACCTTTTATATTTCCTAAAAGAATTATTTTCACTCAGTTCTTATACAGTAAGTCCCCAACTTAAGAACATAATGGGGACCGAGAGGCTGTTTGTAAGTTGATTTGTTTGTAAGTCGAAAGTCGGGTCTCCATTACCTTTTTTCCCATTGTTTTAAAGTTTTGTTTACATTAAGAATATCTGTAAATAAATCCCAATTAAGTTTGACATACCTTATACAGTACCAGACTCTTGAATTATATTCGTGCCCGGGAAATTTGAAGTTTGCTAGCATCTTTCAAACAATTTTTTTGACTTTAGTACTTAAAAAAAATTGTTTGTATGTATGGAATGTTCATAAGTAGAATGTTCTTAAGTAGGGGACTATCTGTATATCCTCCAGTTGTAGATTAGAGACTGTAGAGGAGGAGGGTGGTTGTATAAAACACTGAAATAACATGAAACAAGTTTAAACAATTATCAAAATTTGAGCTGTCTCATATCTTTGCTACTCTATTGTAAACTGAAGATTGTAATTATGCATGGACAGCTTCATGATGCAAGAAATGTTGAGGACACATTAATTCTGATGAAGATTACATCAAGTACATCTGTATTGTAAAGATAGTTTCTTTTAAATACCTTTTTTCTAGAAAGTGCCTTGCCCACTTGTTTAATTGTTTTTACACATAGATGGCTACACTTGTACTAAGTCACAGTGAGCCAATTACGATTACTGCCTGTATCGCATGTTCACCCTTTTCATTGATTTATGAAAATATTTAACATTATCTTATTTTGCTGTTAACAATAACACCATCTATATTTATAGCACTAGTAAGAATACATTTTTTCCCGCCAATTCAATGAAAGGATTTGGGTTAAGTGTTGCAAATAAATGCAAATTGGATCCTCAGCACTTCAGACTAGCATCTATGTACAGAGACATTTCACAAAAATATAAAAAATGAGTACAGCATTTTCCCCATTTTTTATTCATTATCCCCAGCGGCAATGGATTAAGGTATTCACTTTTACCTATAAGTTTCTTAGAAGAAACTTGTAGCCTTAGTGCGTAATAGTTAGACTTTCATGATTGACAGTATATGGAATCAATAGTTGATTATGCAATTCAGCTATTAGAGGCAGTTTCAAGCTGGCTTTTGTATCCTAAAGACATGTAGGATTGCTTTGGCATGGGATATACATTTGCCAAAGGAAATATCCATTTTGTCTCTCGTCCCCCACCCAAAACCCTAGGGGTCCCCCAAACCTGTGGGATAGGGAAGTAGGGGTGGGATTACCAACTTGAGAACAGAAGGTTTGTACAGAAAAGAACACCAGATCCATTCTCACCATATCAGCTTCATAACAGGAACAGTGAATTTTGTTTGTTGTGAAAGTCATCTTGTTATCGACCAAAAGTATGAAAAAAAATTAGATGTCAATTAACAGAGATATCAGTTTGTAAAGTATGTGTAGTGGGTAGGCAGGAGTCTTGCTTTTCAGTTGTAATTACTTTTAAGGGTGTATGATGGCATACAGTCTTATAGAAATTGAGAGTCAGCATTAAACAGATATATTTTTCTAAGGTTTCTTTACAGGATTTTGTAATTCCTGTATATACATTTCCTATTTTCTCTGGAAAATATATGGGAAATTTCTAAACTTCTAGCAAAATTTAAGGGAATTAAGAGATTTGTTAGGTACAGTAATCTGCAAGAATGAAGATTTTTAAAAATGTGTGTGTGTGTGTGTGTGTGTGTGTGTGTGTGTGTGTGTGTGTGTGTGTGTGTGTGTGTGTGTGTGTGTGTGTGTGTGTGTGTGTGTGTGTGTGTGTGTGTGTGTGTGTGTGTGTGTGTGTGTGTGTGTGTGTGTGTGTGTGTGTGTGTGTGTGTGTGTGTGTGTGTGTATTATATGATATACATTCTTGCAGATTATTGTACCTAACAAATCTCATTATTCCCTTAAATTTTGCTAGAAGTTTAGAAATTTCCCATATATTTTCCAGAGAAAATAGGGAAGATCCTTGATAACTAGAAAGATGGCATAATTGCTATAGATTTTCTGAAATTATATAATTTTAGTAATTTTATGAAAAGTACCACAAGTCCCATAGACTTCTAAGAATGGTTATTGCTGTATAAGTAGTTTTAATTCATGCAGATTATTCTTTATTCTTCCCTTTTAATATTTCATAGAGAATATATACAATAGTATATATTGATATGAAAGTGCAACTTTCACTTTTGCTCATAGAATGATATGAAACATTTTTTTTAATGTGTATATATATATTTATTTACTTTTATTTTTTTATTTTTTATGTATATATAGAATAAAATAGGGACCTTATATATCAAATCACATTACATAAGGACACTTCTGTACTTAACATATTCTTTATAATTGTTGAGTAATCTTTGTAATTAGATTTATCATTAACATATTAACCCTTTTCAAGCTTTTTCACATGAATTTGATCAGAATGAAACACAAGACAAAGTTGACTAATTACACAATGTGCATTGGAAAACTGCTATAAAAAAATATTTTTATTCAATCTGCTTAAAAGTTAGAGGCATCAGTAGAGTAATTGAAAACTGCACTTACCTTTTAAATTTCTAGCCCTGTCACCATAAATGACTGCCATTTTCTTTCTTATGATTGTGCATTTTTAGTGCTCTTGCTGTGAAGTGCCAGTGGTGTTATGTCAGCATTCCCAGTATTTGTATTTGAAAAGTTATAATAATAATTACAGAAAGAAGAGAAATTCTAGAAGTACCTGTACTAAGGCAGTGATATGAATCATGATCTTGAATGTGTGAGTAATGACAAGACTGAAATATTAAACTCATTTAACCTCATCACACACATTCATTCAACACATGCATACACTCCTGCACTTCAGCTCATTCTACTTTCGGTTATAGACTCCTGTACTCGCACACAAACACATCCTTCCTGATGCCTGACCCATTGATACTGTAAGAGAGATTTCCAGACTCAACCATTTTTGTCTTGCCCCTTTTTTCCTTAAGCTCAGTCATTCATATCCAGTCTTTTGCATGTTCTGAAAGTTTTCTGCAGGAGAAAGGAACAAGAGTCCAGAATGATGCTATTTTATTAAGCTGGAAACCACTTGTAGGGACAATTATATATGTAGTAGTATTGGCTATGGTAGAATGCTGTAATTTTTTATCATGATTATGCTCTACATTGGAAGTAGTTGAACAGATGTGACGAAATTGATCCCTCTCACAAGCAATTTGTCATATTAGATCTAATTATTTTCTTTAGAACTCATAAAAAATAGCTTCTATCAATATGTACTACATATAAATCTGAGGCCAAAAATATTGAGTTAGGACAGTCTTTTTTTCATTTTTCATCAATATTTTTCCCTGAGTAGCTGTGCATTATATATATACACAAGTACATGTGTTTCTTGTATGATGTAGATCAAACATTTGCACTGACAGTACTATCACATATTTAGCAAGAATTTATATATAATGTTGAGGTCTGATATGAGTGTATTCCTAATAAATGCTCAGAGCAGAGGCTGTTCAAAAAAATCAAGCCTCCCTCCTTCAAGGGTCTGGGTGACTGTGACCCCCCCCCCCCCTTCACCCCTCAGGATTGCTACTGCATATGGTTCAATGATATTATTATTATTGTTGTTTGTTACATTATTCAAATGTTTTATTTTTGCTTAAGAGTGCAAGATTTAAATGAATGTTTCAGAGAGGTTCATAGCAAGGAATAAGGTGGGAGGGGGGGGGGGAGTGTGCTGAACTTACTTATTGTAGCACTTACTATGGTGTCTGTTTACTAATGTTAACATTTGTGATTTTTCTCTTGTACAGAGAAGCTGCTTATATCAAACAGTTGCCGCCAGATGTCAAATATCCATGGTAGAGAAGAAGCGGTGGTTGTAACAGACGATGGGGAAACCATTGTTTGCTGGCATCCGGAACCAAAGGTTCCTTATCATATGACTAAGGTAAGATAGAGGTAGTAGAAATGGCACAATTTGAATATGTTGAATGCCCTCTTCTCCTTCATACATGAATAATTTGTTAGTAAAAATTATCATCTTATCAGTATGACTGGTTTGCAAAAGTGATTCTTGTGAAAGGATAAATTTATGAGAGGATTTACAATTCAATGATCTACCATTAAATTATTGTTTGTAAACAGCCACTTCCAGAAATAGCTGAGGAGTCCAACTCCATACTGAAAGTTCAAAACAAAAAAGAACTGAAGCAATTGTTCAGACGACAGCATCCTTTCTTCATCAACAAGGAACTTCGAGAACTCACTTTCACAACTAAACACCCATGGTATCCCAGGTAAGCCATTAAAAATTGTTCTATATTTTGTGGATCATAAGGGTTTGATTATTATAGAGGTGCTAGTACTTATGCACACTTTCCTTTTTCATGAAACACTCCTTAAATGTTATGTCATATGAACACATTAGAAGCAAGTCAAAATTTATTATTTGCAAATTCTATATACATATCTATTTATTTTCAGACCTGGGAAACGATTTGCTAAAAAGCAGCCACCAAGAGATAGGGAATATTTGTAAGAAAGGGAACTTAAAACTTTCTGGTATTTTGTACATACTTTATGTAATAAAATCTTTTGAGTAATGTACATAGAGAATTTCCCTTAAATCCTCTGAAAACATTTACACCTCCTTATAACTGTACAATTATTAACGATGCTAGAAAAGCATTAACATTACATATCCATTGAGAAAATAATTACACTAGAGCTTCATACATATTTTCCATATATTTAGTTTGCTTTCTGCCTCAGAACAGATTGCTGAAAAGAAAAGGGAAATATGTTGGTGTTAGTAGTTCAGGAGTTTAAGAACTATTTCTCAGTGTTTCATTAATTTTTTTTCAAATTTAAAGCAAAATGAAAAGCACCATGAAAAAAAAGGATATTTAGTCACCATATATTCACAAACAAATGTTATTGCTGAAACTTACAAGGCGTGATAAGTCAACACACTGGGTGAATTGCTCCACTTCTCGAGCACACCGCAGTGACTGCTGGGGATGATCACTGTAGCAATTCATGACAGCTTCCTGGTGGTTCTGGCAGACTGGTGAGCAGGTTGCCTTCATGAAGAGATTTTCCACTTCCTTGAGGGCAGTTGTAACTTGTTCTTCTGAGAGTCGTGCTATTTTCGTAAACTGAAAAAAGAATATGAAGAAACAAGTTTCTGTAATGTCTTTGCTTAGTATTGTGTGATTTATGCCCTTGTAATATTCTAGGACAGCTCAGCTAATAACTTAACGAGCTACTGTATCATGGGCAGGACACTTCTGAGATTATCATAAACTGTCATATAAGAAAATCTTTATTATCCCCATTTATCATCATTCATCATCTTCATTACTCCAAACTCTAAACTGGCACCCTTCCATATCATTTATAATGGCTCACAATTCTCACCTCCTCCTCACGTGCCTCCATCTTCTTGTGCCAGTCCATGTTGAGTTTCTTCATCTCCTGTTCCTTCTCCTCCCTAAGGCGCATCACCATAAGATGAGCCTCCTCAGCATAAATGGACCATGGTGGTATGCTGCCTGCTGGCTGGCTCAGTGTTGGGGCAGCTCCAGACCTGCAATAAATTAAAAATATATGCACTTCTAAAGAGTTCCCAAATCTAAACACCCATAATTTTAATAGATCTGCATCTAACAAATGAAGGGTACAAGAAATTTTGATGATAACAGCCCCTTCTTTAACAAAGTTCAAGTGGAATTATGCATATATTTAACGTTATTGGCAATGGAAGTATTTGCATATTTGCAAACATGGCCTGCTCCAGGTCTATCATTGTAGCCACATGGTCTAAGAGCATGAGGTATCCCATAAGGGAATTTGTTAATGGATTGCTCAACCTTGAAATTAATGGGAGAAATGAAGCCTAAACCCCATTTGATTGAACATAATTTTACTACACTAAATGTCAAAAAAATATAACATAATAGTGACAGGTGATTGTGATTTGGAAGTGATAGTGATTAGGAGTCAAAGGAAGATTCATATGATGTCACATTTGCATTGATAATGGTCCTGAAATAATATCTCTCCTCCTCCTAGTGAGGAGGGGTTGCAATCTATTGAAGTAATTTGCAGGGGTCACAGCCAAAAGCATTTGAGAATCCAAGAGCTAATGGATGATGATATCAGTGGTACAGTTTTTTTATAGATTTTAGGCATTGGTGGCTCAAGCCCCAGCCAACAAGATAATATACAAAATCCAAAAAAACTTTTAACAAAACAAACAAGTTCAGAGTAATACTTCCTCTAATCAATACACAAATAAGAGCTCTATGCACTTACTTCACAGCAATGCCAATATCAGGGGCCGCAGTGGGTTCGCTGGCCACGACCTCTTCTCCCTGGGGTGCTGGTGGTGGTAATGGCACAATGAGTGCTGGAGGCTGCACCTCAACTTCCTCTTGTGGTGCTGCAGCTGGGGCTAAACAGGGAATAACTATAATTAGGCAGTTGCTAAAAAAAAAAAAATAGCACAACAATATAAATGTTACAAGTTTATATTCACAATTTTATTTCTAAATTTCAATCAATTTATAAATGACAAGTAAGGCTAATTTATATCTAGTATTATTAGTAGAATGCCAAAACCAGGATTAGTCCAAGCATCAAAACAGCAAGAGAACCAATGTATCAAGTATAATAAATGTTAATGCTTTTGCCATCTGTCTTCTTAATCACTGTAATCTGATGTTAAAACAAGCAAAACCTCTTCATTCCATGGAAAGGATGGCACTAAAGCAAAAAAGCAAAGTGAGCAACTCAATGTTAAAACAGAGGCCAGAGCAGACGCCACAAACCAGTTAGTTTGCACGGTAAGGAGGAAGGGAGACGGGGAATTAGGAGGAGGTTCTGTGACTGACTTCACAATGCTGTTTCAATTGTGGTATTGTGTTTGTATGAACATTTTACAAGTGAGAAAACAAATGAAAAATATAAAAATGACAATCATCCCAATAATAATAATAATAATAATAAAAATAATAATAATAATGATCATAATTATAACATTAAAAATGACGATTATTGATGATTATTATTGATGACAATGATTACTGATGATGATGATCGATATAACAACAACAAAACAACAACAATAATAATAATAATAATAACAACAATAATATCAATAATAACAATCATAATAATAATAATAACAATAACAATAATATTAATAATAACAATCATGATAATAACAATCATCATAATACTACTACTAATAATAATGATAATAATAATAATAATAATAATAATAATAATAATAATAATAATAATAATAATAATAATGATAATAATGATAATAATGATGATAATAATAATAATAATAATAATAATAATAATTTCAAACATGAAAAAAGCTCAATATCCTTCCAGGATTCAAAGAAGTCTCGCCTCTGATCTGTCAATACCCTTTCAACATGGTAAACACTGAATTAAGGTTACTCATGTGTCACCAAAAAAATACAACAAAAGTATAATGCACAAATATCTACTACTGTACAATCATTACAGTTCTGCCAGTTATTACTGAGCTAAAATCGTCATACTTATTAACAGAACAAAATCTGCTTTTACCACTGAAGAAAAAAAAAAAAAAAAAAATCAATGTGAAAGATACAATCTCAGGACGAGTAACTTAGCACATTACCTGATATTACCATCTTATGCTTTGCTAGTTATCTTAGAGGAAAATAATTAACACATTTTAAATAATATAATCAGAAAACAGTAGGTCCAAGGCTATATGTATTACTCAGTTTCTTACATCTGCTGTAAGTAATCTTGGTTATTGTTATATTTTTATAACAAAAAAGCAATGAAAAAGTGAATAATCATAAATGATATGTTAATGCCTTTTAGTTTGATTAATATATGGTTTTATGCTTGTTATGTTAGTGATTTGTTATGTTAGTTACTATCTCTAGAAAATATAAATAGAAGTATAAATATAAATAGATAAGTAATTTTGTAATATCACACAACATAAAGTCGAGACTGGGAAGTACTACTAGTAACATTATATTTTAAATCTGTCCTACTTATAGATTTATATACCAAAACTACTAATTACTGCAACCACTTAGATAAGTACCACTTGAGAGTGGTTTTCCTTGTGGTTGCTGCAACAGGTACTTTTCAGCAAATATATTTATAACTGTAGGACAATTTTTAAGTATAATAGAAATGGCAGTACTTCCTTGCCCTGGATTATAGTATATATATTCATGAAAGAATGATATACATTATTTATGGTGTAACATACTGCAGTTGATTCACATATCCTTCCTTAATTCTTTTTAAATAAAGCAAAAATATAAATTTATCCATATTATTAAAAAGTTACTTTACCATCCGATAATGTATACCACAGTATTTCACTGAAGAATTTGATAAAATTAATCAAAATAATATCATATGCCAATACATGCCTAACCATAAGAATAACCTTATATCAATCAAAACAGAAATAAATGAGGAAAGTAAAAAGATAAAATATAATGCAAAGAGACTACTCCCATGCAAATTTTCACAATTTCTTTCTTTTCCACAATTTGTGGGTATATGCTTTTAGAGATTTCTACACCTACTTTCGACTACGTCACTAGCAAAAGCAGCTGCCAATAGTGTGTCCTTTGAAGGCAGCTGCACCTCTTCTGCCATGATAGCATTGGACTCGGGAGTTGTGGCTGTGAGGCTATCTTCCTGAGGGGGGACTGCAGGAGCAGCTACAGCGTCAGCAAGAGGATTGTCAGAGAGAGGAGAGGAAGCCAAAGAATCAGAGGAAACAACATCAACAGCTTCTGAACTTTCGCCAGAACTAGGAACTCCAGCATTAGAATCTTCAGCAACAACAGAAATCTCTACTTTGGACTCCTCAGCCACAGCTGTGCCAGTTGAAGGCTGCTCCACCGGCACAGCTGGAGGTGAGAGGTCCAGAGGGGAAGGCTCAGCCACTTCTGCTGCACCAGAGGGAAAAGCTTCGAAGCTTCCATCAGTCGGGCGAGACTCACCCGTTGGCAGAGGTTCGGTCACTTGGGGCTCAGGTTCAGGGATATAGTCACTGATTTTGGGAGGTTCAGGGACTTGAGGGGCAGTGAGGATAGGTGGGGGACTAGGGGCAAGGACTGGGGGAGGGGCAGGGACTGGGGGAGGGGCAGGGGCTGGGGGAGGGACAGGAGCAGGGGGAATCTGGGGAGGGGCTGGTTCTGCAGCTACTGCCGGCTCTGGAACTTCTGGCGCAGCCTGCTGACCTTCTATCTGGCCACGCAGGCGGTATGCCAGAGACTCGGACAACTGGAAAGATGAGAATTAACATACTAAATGATGCTAATTACCAACTTCTATCAATATCCTAGTACCATATTATAAAAAAAATATTTAATGATTATTGTTATTAACCCTATTAAAAAATGTTATCTTTATTAGTTGACTTTTTCAATAATAATAAAGGAGAAACAATTAATGAAAGCCAAACAGTCTACAGTCAAATACTCCTTACATCACTATTTCATTTTCAGAAATAGGTTAATCAATATCAACAACTTTCTTCACTAAAGGTAAGTAACATCTACTGTAATGGGTAA